ATGGTTAGAAACAGTGATGTGTCCCAGCTGCCCCATTTTCCATCCAGCTCCCTGCTTATGACATGAGAAAGCAGCAGAGGATGGCTCAACTCCTTAGGAGCCTGGACCGGTATGGGAGACCTAGACGAAGCTCCTGGCTTCAGATAGACTCAGCTCTGATCGTTGTGGCTATTACAGGAACGAAGCATTGGATGGAAGAGCTTTCCCTTTGTCTCGTTTCTCTGTATATCTGCCTTTCCAATAAAAATAAATAAATATTTTAAAGGAATTACATGTGAAACCAGGCACAGAAAGACAAATATCACATTATCTCACTTATATACAGAAACAAAAAGAGAAAATTTATCTGATGAAGAATGAATTGTGCTTACTAGAGGCAAAGATATGCAGATTGATGGGGAAAGAGAGGATACTAAACACAGGATTCAACATTTTAGTTAGACAGAAAGGATAAGCTTGAATGGTCTATTTCACGTAATAATTACTACAATAAATAGATAAACATTCTATCTTCAAAACTTCTAAGAATAGATTTTAAATTTATTCACCATGAAAAGCAAGGTGTTTGCATGCTCTAATTGTTAATAAGCATGATTTAATCACTGTAATCATAAACATGCCACAATAGATCACATTGATCTTCAGAAATACATAGCAAATGAAATGATCATTTGTCATTTAAAAATAGGGTTTATCTATGTGGTTCTGTGTGAATGTAATTCAATGGATTTACAGTCAGTGTTACTGTATTCACCTGCTGAGTTAGGAAAGGGAATGGAGGGTGATAGGAAATGGTTTTGTGTGTGTTTCCCCTGTTTGGAGATGGCTGCAGGGTAGTTCAGATGCATTAATGGAGGGAGAACCCAGGCCGCATAGTACTAACAGCATTGATGTATAGCTGGTGTGGTGTTGAAGAAGTTGTCATCACGAAATCAGGACTGACATTCCAGTTTTTCAGATAGTGGTTGAAGTCACTTGCAGGGCTATGTTGATTATGTCATCCATAAGCTAGAAATGACTGTCCTCCAAAATTTAAAAAATCACAAATGCTGAATGAGGAAATGGGGAAAATAATAATGTGATACACTGCGGCTGGGAAGGTAAACTCGTGCACCAATTATGGAAGGCGATTTGGAGAGACTTCAGAAATCTGACAGTGTATGATGTAACACAGTTATCCCGCGGCTAGGAATTTACCCAAATGAAATGAAATCACCATATGGAAGAGTTGTCTGTATTGCCATGTTTAGAACTGTGCAATGAACAATATTTAAGATATGAAATCAGCCCCGTTGTCTATCAACCATTGACTGAGTGAAGACGTTTTGGTGAATATACCCAATGGAATACTATTCAGCCATAAAAATAATGAAATACTTTCTTTTGAAACAAAACAGATGCCATGAGAGATCATGCTTAGTGAAATAAGCTATCTACCCAAAAGAATATTGTATGTTTCCCCTGATGTGGAGGCATTAAATGCAGAGTACCAAAAAATGTATTGCGTAGGTACGAAATTGACATTTTGAGAACTGATTGTTTATAACTCTTGTATATAATGATTGAGGTGCAGTGTTTTTTTAATTGTTGAATTATTTATTTAATGGAGGATTAAACTTGTGATTATAAAAAATGAAAACATCATTGTAAAGAGTAAATGAGGGCCCGGCGCGATGGCACAGTGGTTAAAGGTCCTCACCTTGCCCGCGCCCAGGATCCCATATGGGTGCCGGTTTTAATTCCAGCAGCCCCGCTTCCCATCCAGCTCCCTGCCTGTGGCCTGGGAAAGCAGTTGAGGACGGCCCAAGGCTTTGGGACCCTGCACCCACGTGGGAGACCCAGAAGAGGCTCCTGGTTTCGCATCAGCTCAGCTCCAGCCATTGCTGCCGCTTGGGGATTGAATCATTGGATGGAAGATCTTCCTCTCTGTCTCTCCTCTCTGTATATCTGCCTTTCCAATAAAAAAAAAAAAAATCAAGGGCATTTAGAGTTTTAAAAAGAAAAAAAAGAGTAAATGATAATAAGAAAAAAAAAGGAAGGGTGGAAAGGAGAAAGAGAGAGTGATGGTTGGGAAAACTCTATTTAGGAAATGAATGAGATGGGTCCTATTGTATAACTTAAATTTTTAAAAATTAAAGTAAAATAGAAGTGCTGATAGCTACCTATGTGTTCTTCGTAGGCTATTTGAGGATCAAAAATTTATCTATCTAAACTGTCATTTACGAAACAGTTTTTTTTTATGTTACCTGTTTACAATTTATAGTTGTTGAATTAAATGTAAATGACTCCCAATTTTTCTAAGTTCTTTTTTTTTTTAAGATTTATTTATTTATTTATTTATTTATTTATTTATTTATTGCAAAGTCAGATGTACAGAGAGGAGGAGAGACAGAGAGGAAGATCTTCCCTCTGATGATTCACTCCCCAAGTGAGTGCAACGGCCAATGCTATCCTGATCCAAAGCCAGAATCCAGGAACTTCTTCTGGGTCTCCCACGCGGGTACAGGGTCCCAAAGCTTTGGGCCGTCCTCGACTGCTTTCTCAGGCCACAAGCAGGGAGCTGGATGGGAAGTGGAGCTGCTAGGATTAGAACCGGCGCCCATATGGGATCCCGGGCACATTCAAGGTGAGGGCTTTAGTCACTAGGCCACAGCGCCGGGCCCAATTTTTCTAAGTTCTAAATAGCTTCCTTGAGATACCTGAAGTTTGTTTAGAAAGTTGCTTATTTACTTTTTAAAGGTTTATAGTAGAGTTACAGAGACAGTGGAAGAAACAGAAAGAAATCTTGCATCCATTGGCTCACTCCGCACATCAGTACAATAGTACAGGCCAAGGCCAGGCTAGAGCAAGAAGACATGAGCTGCTTCTGGGTCTCCCATATGGACTAAGAGGCCCAAACACCTTGCATATCTTATGGTTGGATCTCCTAGGTCTTTAGTAGGGAGCTGGATTAGAAGTAGAGCAACTGGGACACAAATTAGCAACCATGTGGGGCGCCATTATCCCAGGCAGCGGCTTTATCCATTACAACATATTGCTGGCCCCCAGAAAGCTGCTTCTGTATGAGTTGTTACAACTGTGGATTTAGGACTTAATACAAGACCAGATTACTCCCGTGTGGTGCGATGGAGAGCACATTGCCACAGGTGGGCAACTGTTGGGGGTATCTTAATAGCGATATACTAAAATTGTTTTCATTTCTGTAAAATTGGAAGCTACCTACTTCCGGCTTTCTCAGTTTCCCCACCAGTAAAAGTTTGTGGAAAAAACAGGAATATGGTGAAAATTTTGTGATACATTAGGCATTGCAATTTCATGACAGGAGACATGAGCCAGATGCCAGAAAACTACAAACTACCTTTTCGTCTATTTGACAAAATTGTAAATTCTCCAAGATTGAATTGCTTTAACTGTGGCATACGTGGTTTGTGTGCTCCGCTTTAGATGCCAGACATCGTGTGATCACTGATTGACAAAGATGAATACAACATGAGCCCTGGCCTGCCTGCCCTCCTTTATCCTCTCTCTCTCTCTCTCTCTCTCTCTCATCTATCTCAGCCAAAAAGAAGTAGGTGTGCGTGTGCATACACACACACACACACACACACACACACACACACACACACACACACAAATGGAGAGCTATCGGCTGACATGTTACCTCCCTGCAGTGGTTAGGAGAAGGACTAGGCTATGGCAGGAGCTGAGGGCTGGGAGCTCAATCCAGATCTCCCTATGGATTACAGGGACCAAGTCACTTGAACCATCACTGGTACCTACAGCAGGACACTGCAAGCAGGACCTGGAACCAGAGATTGACCCCAGATACCCCAATGTGGGTTATGGGGTAAATTATTGTTTAGGTAGAGAAGTCCAATCTTCATTACCTTTTATTAATCACAGTCTAGAGGTCTGCCAACTTGTAAAGCTTATTGTGAACAACGTTTTAGAGGCAGGCAGTAAATGGTGGTGGCATCATGGAGGGAGTGATTATTGGCCTAGGTAGATCAGCAGATGCTTGAGGCCAGAAGCTTAAATTAGCAATAACTGCTTTTGTTTTCTTTTAGGGTTATCGTGAGACTCAAATATATGTGAAAGATCAACATGGTGCAATTAGTAGTAGTAGTAGTAGTATTCCATTATCAGATTCAGATTTTGTGTTTCATTTTGGGCTTTCAATTGAAAAGAACTCCTGCGTGGTTTTCCCAGGGATGCTGTGCATCCCTTAGGTGTCATAAAGGGGTGAGATGCTATGTATATAACACAAGTGACCTGGAGGGGCTTCTTCATTTCCCTAAGTCCTAGTGGCCTTTGGACGTTCACCTCACTCCATCGCTTGCTATCTGGCTGACCTATTTTAATTTTTGATTTATGAACAGATATTTTTAAAATTAGTTTGAAAGAAAGAAAGAGAGAGAGTGAGCCAGCACTGGCCCATCTGTTGGTTCATTCCCTAAATAGCTACAATAGCTGGGCTAGGTCAGAACTTGAGCCAGAACTGGGAGATGAAAATACGGTCCAGATCTCCTACATAGGTCACCAGGACCCAACTACTAGGTCCTCACCTGTTGCCTTCCAGGTTCTGCATTAGAAGGAAGCTGGATTCGGGATCCGGAACCAGGAACCAAACCATGAAATCTGGTGTGGGTCCCAGCTGTCTTAACATCCAGTCTAAGTGCTTGCTTCAATGGCAGATGACTAGTGACCACTTTGTATGTGTCCAACTTTACAAGTGTTTGTAGTTGAGTAGAAACACAAGTAAATTAACAAAGAAATCTGTAAAGACATAATCAAATACTTACTAGAAGCAAAGAGTGAGAAAGAAGGAAGGTGAGTTGGCTCAAGTGGTTGGAACAGGCTTTTTGCGGAGGTGACCCCATTCGTGCTGGTCCTGTGTAGGTGGGTAGATTTTACTTGGGAAGGTCCAGGCACAGATACCTATATTCATGTGCACAGTGGCCCACAAGACTCATGTTGTTTTCATTTCATTTTTTTTGCAGCTCTACAGCTCCATGGACTTTGGAAGACGGTGGCAGCTCATGCATGAACGCATCACACCCAACCGGTTTTACTGGTAAGCATTATCTGTCCACTCATTAGCTCATCGGATATAGAATTATGGATTAGTTTAGCGATCTGGATAGTATGGGACTTGGCACTTGAATACAAGTATGTTTTAGCCTCTTAGCCGTTCAGAAGTGGTTCGTGGGCCAGCTTTGGCATCTCCCAGGAACTCATTGAAGATGCAGAATATAGGAGCCTGTGTGATGTGTGGCACTGGGATTATTCATTCATGTGATCAGTAGTGTTTGGAAAGAACTGGGCTTGGGGGCTTTGAGGGAAGGGTCATGTTCAGGTGCTCTACCTCCTGATAATCTCCCTGCTTTTTAGAAAAGTGTGCATGTGGTTACTTTAAAAACTTAGGGAATTAAAAGATAAGTTTCAGAGTAGGTGTTCAGTTTGGTGGGTGAGAATGTCTATGTCTCTCATTGAGTTCACTTCCCACTCTGACTTACAGTACTAGTTACCTGCCATTGCAGATCTTGCGAGGAAACACTGAGGGCTCAAGTGATTGGGTTCCTACCTTCTACGTGGGAGACCCGGCTTTGGTTCCTGGCTCTTGGCTTTGACCGCAATGCAGCCATTGTGGGTGTTGGAGGGACAAAACAACTGGAAGGCTGGCTCACTTGTTTCTCTGTCTTTGCCTCTCAGATAAATAAGTAAATAATTTTCCTAAAAGTAGCTCATTTTGATTCAAAGCAAGTTTGAAATGCTTTTTCTTTTATTTTCACTAACTTTTTGAGAATCTTTTATGCACCTCTTCTATGAAGCAATATTTCTCAAATTGTATTCTGAAGAGCAATAGCTTCACTAAGTACTTTGCTTTCATAGGCAGTTCTGTAGTCACATAAATTTAGGTAACACTCATCCAGATCCATGCACATGGAACCTTAAGAATTCTGGTAGGGTTTTAAAGACTCTGAGGAGGCTGAGAGTGAAGAAATCTGCCAGTCTGGAAACCACTGATTCTAAACTTAATTCACTACAGAATCCATTGCTGCTGTCATACCTGAGAGATCCTTCAGCACCAACTCTGTGGTGCATGTCTTAAAATTTTTTTTTCTTTGTAAGTATGAATACACATTTCAAATAGAAAATCACCCTTTCCTACTCATCAGAAAGTTGATTTAATTAGCTGCATGTCCATCATGCATATTTCTACTATCATGAATGCTATTGTGCTTGTAGCAGGTTTAGTATTTATTTATCTTTATACCCTTCCTTGTTATAGTGTGGAAATACTGTTTGGATCTCGGTTTCATTTCTACAAGGGATAGACCAAAGGAATTCAGATGAGGAAATCAGATTATACTAAGGTGCTTCAAAAAATTCATGGGAAACTGTAACATGAAAATATTACAAATGGATTTTAAATTTGTTTGCACCAGTGTAAGCCTGTCTTTTACTTTTGCTGTTTCACAAACATTTTGAAGCACCCTTATATAGTATTATGGATTGTATGCTTAAATAAGGCAAAGATTCAGTGTTTGAAGGTAGTGCTTATTGTATGTATCTTTCTAAACATATTGCCTAAATTCCCTTAACTGTCATGGGGTAGTTATGTTGATTTTTGCCTTACACAACATGGAAGTGGAATGTGTGTGTGTGCACGTGCACACACACGCAAATGTGATTGTAGCAAGTACCGTGTGTACACAGTTTCACATAAGCACCCTTGGAAAAAGTACCTTTCTTAGTCCCTTCTGTATCAACAAACATGTCTGGAATTTATTAGAGATTGCCTAAGCACGCAGTGACAATCAACTGTGTTTTATTGTACAAACTCGAAGTAGATGGGAGAGAAAAAGAGAATTATAAGTATTGCTGTCTGCTCAACATCTGGTTTATTTCCACTCTTTTTGCCTCATGGTGATCAACTGTTATTTTATCTGTAACTGTTATTACAAATATTAATCAGATAATGCTTGGAACCATTAAGATTTTTTATTAGAGAAAGGTGAGATAAGAAATTATTTATGTCCCTGATATTCCAGTAATATAACTACAGCCGTTGCTTAGCTGACATGGGTCTCCTTTTCAGTGGGCCATTGTTCAGAAGGCCCTCGTCAAGAAAACATAAGGCCCTTTGCCGTTCTTGAAACAAACTCGTGAGACAGTAAGGCAGTCAGCCTGTGACAAAGTCAAGTTCATGAAGAAGCAAAGCACGGTAGGCTAGATGAGCCTTGTCATCATTTCTGAAGGAAATTGAATTGAGTGCATGAGGGGCAGCATTTTCCTATTTTTTGCAAGAGTAAGATGACAACGTTCCAGCTGCTTCCCTCCCCCCCCCCTTTTTTGTGAGTAGCAGAAAGAATAAATCCCAGTTCCTGATAATTATATTTCATCTCTCTTCCAATATGTGCTTCTTTCATATATGTTCCCATGGGGAAATATAAAAGTTAGTGGCCGTGCTGGCCAGCCAAGTGGTGGCTGAATATTCCATTTTCGTAATTATCACTTCTCCGTTTCTCATGTTTAATTGCTGTGATTAATCTTTTAGATGTCACAGGAGTCACAGAGGAAGAGTTCATTTTACACAGACCTTTTAGTACCCAAAGACAGAATGCAAGGTTCTCTAAAACACCAGCCTGCTTCTGCTGAACAGGCATGGCACCTGTATGTGAGGAGCGAAAAAGGTAACTTTGTACTTTCTTGAGAAAGCACAAAATGTGCATTTCTCCAGGTGTAGAGCAAACATTGGCCCAAATTGGGTTCCTTCAACATAAAATTTCCGTATCCATATTGCAAGAGCATTATTTTTCTTGTGTGTTGAACACATCCCTTGAACGGTCCAGATATGACCTGGTGGACACTGACAAACTCACTTCTCCATTTCATGTTTGTAATTTATACATTGCAAGTACTCTGTCCTCAGGTATTGTGCAGAGTAAGAGTCCTGAAGAGGATGACACACAAATGACTTGTTATGTCCCTGTAGCAAAAATGGGAAGCCAGGAATCTTACGAAACTGGAATGGGTCTAATTTACTGTAAAGATTCAAACTCCATGTTTTATGCTATTTGCTGTTTGTTGATGATCAAAACAAAACCTCAGAAAACTCCCAAACCTTTTCACCAAGAGGGATGGCACCGAGGAAGGTAATGCTTAGAGCAGTGATGGAATGTCAGGGCAACACAGGACACAAGACAGTGAGCAGATGTGTGATGTTAGGAGGCCTTGCAGTGTGTGTGGCATGGACACGAATAGAGTCAACAGGTGCTTCAGAAAAATATGTTGTCTGCCTATTGTCATGTCTGATTTGGACATTTGCCAATGTCTAAAGCATGTGCAGTGTCAAAGGCACTTCCCATTGAAAGCCTAGAGGGATTTATGTGGGGAGAAGCACTGTGCTCCGGCGTCACTTCTGCCAAGGGCACAGAAGTAGAACACAGCCATGCCTGTTCCTCTCTTGTCTGTGGCAGTGGATGTTGTAAAGGTTGCACAAGTGCATTGGCATTGTAAGGAGATATCATTGTCTCCATTGCCTTGTTAGAGCCCCACGATGCTTGTGTGTTAGAACATTCCAAATGTTCTAATCTCATCAGGGGACATCACCCAGGATGTAGTGACTCAGCCACAAAGCTGTGTCCCGACAAGTAGCACAGCTGACCCCAAAGCTTCTTCCTTATGTGTGGCCATTGCAGGTACTCAATATTTGGTTATTAAATGATCATCAGGCCTGTGTGATGCTGCTCATTCATCACCACGATTGCTTCGAACTGATCATTTGCAGGAGGAACACCCCATGGAAAAAGTGTCCTAACAGTTTCTCTGCATCTTTCTTCATCTTTGCTTGGGCAGAATTGTTGTCCTGGGGGGAATTTCTGTTTTCCTTTTTTTTTCAATATCCTACTGAGCTGCAAATGAGTAGTATTTTCACTCCTCCCTTAGGAGATATTTAACAGGCAGGCACATTCTGCAGTGGGAAGATTGCATTGCACACCCAGTGTGAATGTTGGTGGTTCACAGCTGTGCCCCTGTGGTCTTGCACTCTCCTTGGGTGTTCACTCTCATCAGGATTCTGCGTCAATGATATTTGAGGGATAATAGCCCTTCCTAAATTCTCTGGGTATCTGGACTTGCCTCTATATGCCTCAGGTCCCTGGTGACATTTGCTTGTGTAGTATTGCAAAAGAGAGAAAGGCCCTGAAGGGTGCCTCCTCTTTAATCATTTTTCCTCTTTCCCCAATAATTATTCTCTCTTCCTTATCATTGCTACAATAAAGTGTTCTGATAAAGTAAAGCACCATAAGGTGTCAGGGACTGCAACTCTTAACCCTTTGTGGAGCTTTGGATTGCAGCATGGACTGGTCTTGAGAGTTAGATGCCCTTTAAGATGTTGACACACAGAGTTGATCAGGCTGTACTGGGGAGACTACAGGGAAATAACAGCTTACAAACTCTTGCTTCCTCTGTTGTGACGCCTGGCTCAGACTGGAGAATGACTGACTTGCTCGATGGACAGGGTAGGTTTTATGGACTATCCTGAAGGCCAACCTGTGCAAAGTTGACTTTTTAAAAAAAAGATTTAATTATTTTTTATTGGAAAGGCGGATATACAGAGAGGAGAGACAGAGAGGAAGATCTTCCGTCCGATGACTCACTCCCCAAGTGAGCGCAACAGCCGATGCTATGCCAATCCGAAGCCAGGAACCTCTTCCAGGTCTCCCACGTGGGTGCAGGGTCCCAAAGCCCTGGGCCGTCCTCAACTACTTTCCCAGGCCACAGGCAGGGAGCTGGATGGGAAGCGGGGCTGCCGGGATTAGAACCGGTTCCCATGTGAGATCCTGGGCATGCAAGGCGAGGACCTAAACCACTGTGCCACCGTGCTGAGCTCCAAAGTAGACTTTTAATGGTGGTTGCATCACCTGCTTTTCACCTTCTTATTTTTTTTTTTAAGATTTAGTTATACTTACTGGAAAGCAAATCAGATTTACAAAGAGAAGGAGATACATAGAGAAAGATCCCTCTGCTGATTCACTCCCCAAATGGCTGCAATAGCTGGACCTAAAT